GCTCTGCTTGATTTTTTTTTTTTTTGGTTTTGATCATTGGATGGTGTTTTGTGGGGAGGTGGGATGGTGGCTTAGCTGGCGGTGGCGATGGGGTTGGAGGTGGTGGCGGGTTTGTTGTGGGTGGTGGTTGTGGTGTGGTGATGTCTTTGTCGTTGTTGGCGGCGGGGATGGTGGTAGATCTGGTGGCGACAACGGGGGTGGAGGTGGTGGCAGGTTTAGGATTTTTTTTTTGTTGGATCTGGTGGTGACGGTTTTGTTGGTGGTGATGTCGTGGTGGCGGCGACGGTTAGGAGATTGGCGTTGGATCTGGTGGCAACGACGGGGTGGTGGTGGTTGTTGGTGGCTGAAAATCTTATAGAGTTGATTGTCATGGTTTTTGTTAGCGGTCGATTGGATTTGGTGGCGCCGATTTTATTGGTGATGGTGTCATGGTGGTGGTGGTGCTGTGTAGGCGACGACAGTGTAGGTGGTGGTCGTATGTGACCCACTATTTGGTTACTCGTAACCAACGGTTTAACCATGACCTTAAAAACTCGATAATTTGTGACCAATAAATTTGAAAATACTTGACTGATTGATAAGTTGTGACCTATAATTTTTTATCTGTCACCAATAAAATAAACTGTGACCTTAACATTCGATAATTTGTGACCAACAAATTTGAAAATATGTGGCTGATTGATAAATTGTGATCTATAATTTTTTTATCTGTGACCAATAAAATAAAATGTGTCCTATAAAATTTTTGATTTGCGATATCGAAATAATATGTGACCAATTAATTATTTAATACGTGATCAATAAATAAGTTATGACATATGATTATGTACCTACGACCATTAATTATATAATTGTGATTTTATTATATTTAATTAATAAATAATGGCATTATTGACGATTAAGCAACATAACATGAAACAGCTAAAGATCAATTTAACAGGGGTCAGTAAGAAAATTGAATGATAATTTGATTTTAGAAGGCTTTTGATAAAACTGAAAATTGAAATTC